TTTTTTTTTTTTTTTTTTTTTTTTTTTTTTTTTTTTTTTTTTTTTTTTTTTTATCCAGCACATGTATGTGGAGAGCAACAGCAAAATCTGAACTAGAAAAGCTCATTAGATAAATATGAACTAAACAATGCTACAGCCATATATAAATAAATATATACATACATATCTACATATGTATTTATATAAAATACAGCGCGGGTCATAAAAATAGTAATGCGACAGGTCACTATACAATAGTGCAATATAAGTAATCTTAATGTTCTTTTAGTTTTTTCTTTCGAAATATGGAGCTTATTACTAGGTTTTTCTTTCCCAACAATTCGTGTTTAGTCGCACTACTATTTTTATAACCGCAGCTCTATATATACATAAATATATACATAAATACATATATATACATCTATATATATATATATTATGAAATATTTATAGAACTTATTAGAAATAGCCATTATATTTGTTGTCTAACTAAGCATTTAAAAGCTCCAAGAATTGGCAACTTATAGGCTAACTGTACAAATAATATTGACACTTGAGCTATACATACACATGGCATACACACATACACACATATATATGTATATGTAGCGTGTGACCGATGTATATATATTTACAAATTGTAGTCCTGTGATATGTAACTTTTGCATTGAAATATTTAGCAATTTAGCGCGAAAAGAAATCGTGTGAAGCGTTCGTAGTAGTTGGTAGCAAATCAGGTTAAGAGCAAATAACTGAAGCCGAAATTCCCACATATAGTTCATATATATCATATATATGTATACTTGATAAACATCCTTGCCATTGCCGCTGCTCTAGCTCCTCCGCTGCCTCTGTGGAACGCTGATTTCTTTTGAGGACTGTGTCTAAATTGCTAAAAGGTAACATCAGGTGCTCGTCTGCGTGTTGGCCAAGATGCGTGAGCTGCGCGACAGGTAGCCATACCAGTAGAACACATTGATCAGGAAGAACAGCAAGGGGAATACGATCCGGGAGGCGCGATCGATTTTCGACACCGAATTGTATTGGGGCGTGCGTTTGCCCTTGCGCCTCGCCTCGAGCTCCTCGCGCCTGTAGAAGGACATGCGACGCCGGCCCACATGGGGCGGCGAGCCTTGGGCATTGGAGGATGCAGCGGCTGCGGCGGCTGCAGCGGCAGCCGAAGTGCAGGGCGCCTCATCGGCTCGCAGTTGAGTCTGCTCGTCGTCCTCCTCCTCCTCGTCGGAGCAGGTGGCTTTGCGAGCCGGACGTCGCTGCCGCCGCCGGCAGCCAAGCCAGTCCAGGCAGCGCCACAAGCTGAAGCGCCCCAGGCCGTGGCGGCGATTGCGCGTGGTGCGTCTGGAGTGCAGCATGCCGAGCCGACTGCCGCCCGATGCTGGCATGCTGATGGCGCACATGGAGAGCGGTATGACCTCGTAGATCTTGGACTCGCTGCTGCCGCGAAAGTCCGACTGGCCACTGGCGTCCACATCCGTTTCGGACTCGGCCGAGTCCGTGTCCAGCTCCTCGATAATGAAGTAGCACTCGCCCGACCCGTATTTGGTAAAGTAATGCACCACGGCGAACTGCAGGATGGTGGCAAAGATGAATCCGAACGAGAGGAACACAAAGAAATCCAACGCGGTGGGATACGACACCTTGGGCAGATCCGTGCGCGCCTCCAGGCCCAGGAACGTCATCGTCAGCACCGTGGTAATGCCCAGCGAGACGCGATCCGCCGTTGCCTCGCGATTCAGCCAGAAGGAGACCCAGCTGAGCACCACCAGCAGGCAGCAGGGCCCATAGACCTGAATCAGAAAGTTGCCCATGTGCCGCTGCAGATGGAAGTTGACCATCAACATGGAGTACTCCGCTGAGGGGAGAGATATGTAAGGATTACCAGCTGCTAGCCAGAGCGCTAACTTGACAACTTACATGGATGATGGGTTTCCAGGCTGATGCTCCCGGCCAGATTCGTGACGAGTCCCCCGCCGCCGGCAATGCCGCGACCCGAGCCAAACGCGCCTTTGTCTAGCTTTAAGCCCGTGCCGCGGACATGTTGATTTTTGGCGCCCGGCCCAGCGAAAGTTGTCAACACTTTGTTGTTGTTGTTGGTGTTGGTGTTGGTGTGGGTGGTGACAGTGGTGCTGCTGCTGCTGCTGGGTAGCTGCTTGGTGGACAGCGTGTCCTTGTTATTGTAGCTCTGCGGCATCGCTGCCTTGTAAACAATGTCCGTCAAATTACCCGCCGGACAATCGACCAAATCGAATTGTGACAATTTCATGTCCTCCGCAATGGCAACTGCCGGACGCTCTTTGTTCCAGCGATAAATGACATCCGACGTGGTATAGCCAACTGTGTGTGAAATGTTTGTAAGTTTTTTATTTGTTTTTCTGCCTTTTCGTTTCATATTTTGTCAATTAAAAAATATCTAATCAATAGAGATGCTAGCAGTGCTGCAGAAGCTTGAGTGAAACCCATGAACGTTTGGAGCTTGTCATTAAAGTTTCCAGTTTTTATTAAACGTGGTCTGTCTTTTTATACAATTTTTAGAGTTTCTCGTTTATATCCCAATAATTTCACAAATAGTATTTCGGCAGAACTTAAGCTAAAACAGTTTGCTTTGTACATAAAATATTTATTGATGGTATTTCTCCTATTCAATGACTAGAAATATTAATTTATTTTCCTACTATAACAAACATTTTTTATAAGAATTTTAAGTCTATAATATTGACTATAAATACAATAATATGGACTATAAAATAAAAAAGTATACAGGAACTTTTAAAATGTATTATTTCAAAATAAAATAATAATAATATAGTAAATTCAAAAAGCTAAAACAGTTTGCCTTGTACATCAAATATTTATATATGGATATTTCTCCTATTTAATGACTAGCTATCTGAATGTATATTCCTGATATAACAACAATTTTTTAAAAGAGTTTGTACTGTATAATATTGACTGTAAATAATAATAATAATAATAATAATAATAATAATAATAATAATAATAATAATA